AAGCAAAGCCCCCAGGATTTGGAACTCCCTCCAGCCACCTGCAGGGGTGGAAGCAGTGGAGCTCGAGGGCAGACCCTTGCAGGGCTGGGAGTCTCAGGGGGGTGCACAGCAGGTCTCTCCTTTGTGAGAAAAGGCTGAGATGAGGCAGGCAAGGGCGTTTCAGACTAATCCCTCTTACTCCCTTGTACTGAGGGAGGAGACCCTGCACAGTCCACCCAGAGCACGAAACCACAGGAGGCCCCTGTGTTGCAGAGCGTGGCAGGGGGAGGACACCCCCTCACATGTTGTTCCCGATATAGATCCCATTAACCATCGCAATTAACACGAGCCAGGCCCTCTCTCCTCCTTGTCACCCCAGACAGAGCCGTACATAAAAATAACTGTTTATTACACAGCAGGCAGAGCCCGGCTTATCACTGCAGACAGGAAATTGCCACGCAGAAACCACACGTTTCACTTTTAATAAGTTTGGCAATAAAACATCTCGTCAAGCGAGGCCACGACAGGGCAATAATGAAGCTTCCGCGTGGCCCGTAATTGCTCATTGCTCTCCTGGGGGTGAGCCAGAAAACGTGGAGAGAGGTGGGAGACGTATGGCAGCATCCTCTGCCCTCACCTCCTGCTCAGGCAGCATCCCTCCTTATCCCTGTCAGCATCCCTGGAGCACTGACACCCTCCAGGACATGGCTAAGGAGGAGGTCTGTCCATGTTGGAGGGATACACGCAATTCCCGTGGAGTGCTGGAGGAGGTGTGAGAGAAATAGAGTGGCTCTTGGTGCTCCAAGGGAAAGGACAAGGTTTTTTGCTTTCCAAGCAGGACTTTACAGCAGGATATCTTCAAGGCTGAGTGGGTGCTGTAGCACACAGTCCATCCCCACCCTTATCCAGGAGGGATACAGTGTCCTGGAGGTTTTGCACAAGTGGGCTCGGGGGGAAAGCTGAGGATGGGGAACTCAGCATGGCAACACAGGGGTGCCACGGGGATCTCCGTGCTGAACCTCTGCTATGGACCCATCCCGGCGAAGGCCAGGGAGTGACATGGTGCCTGTCTGTTCTGACACCCTCTTGCTGGTGGTCTCAGTGCCACCAGCTGGTGACACTTCAGCCAGGTGGCACCGCTGCCAGAGCTGGTCCCTTGCACTGAAGGATGGTGGTGGTGTTTCCAGGTGTTACCTTCGTGACGACACTTTCTTTCCCTAAAGGAAACCAGGCCCAGCAAGGGATCAGTCACTGCCCCAACCTATTTCTGTAGCTTCCCAGCTTCTGTTTGATCTTTTGGATGCTGGTGGACACAAACCAGCCTGCCACAAGCCTATTGAGAGTGATGGGAGCAGCTTGGGGAGCCCTGGTGGGGTTCCCCAACCAGAGATGGGTGATGAGGACTCACCGTGCAGCCTGCAAAGCCCAGGATGATGAAACAGACCCTCATCACCCGTGGAGGCAAAGCTGGGTCCTTGCTGCCTTCTCTGAGTTAACCTGTGCCTGAGCTCCTCGTTCCCACCAGCCATCCCCCTTGGCAGGGAGGGAACAAAGAAGTCCAGGAGGACATGGTGCAACCAACACTGTAAAGATGAGCTCTGTCATCGAGGTAATAGGAGACAAAATGATGCGTGTCCAGGCTGGCACTAGGAAATGAGGCGGTTTAGAGTCACAGCAGGGACGTGCTGGTGCTGGCAGGCACCGCTGGAAGGCTCCCAGGTGGGCAGGAGGCTTTGTTCGCCTGCAGCACTGCTCTTGGGGAGTTTACCTGGAATTACTGATCCGCATTCATAAACATGATCACATTAATTGGCTGCCGAGGCTGCAGTCGCCGTCTCCTCTCAGCACTGGGACTTCATCTCCCTTCCCATCCCAAATGTCAGGATGTGTCTGTTCTTCCATCCACTCAGCACCATGGCCGAGGACAGAGAAATGGCTGGAGAAAGGAAAGAGGCAGAGGATGGGTGAGTCCATGGGCCTGGAGCCAGTGACAGACACCCACTGCCACCACCTCCACGCTGCAAAGCAGGCGCCTTGAAAATAAACAGCGGACACCTTCTGGAGGGGACAGGAATCCCTGTAGCCCTGGCCAGTGATGACTTGGGAACAGGCACCTGGGCTGGAGACCAGCTTTTTATGGCTGGAGCAGTGACTGGTGGGCAGGAGAGGGATCAGCTCCCAGCTGAGGACAGAGACACTCAGGCTTCTCAGCCTGAGACCAGGCTGGTGCTCGTCTCACTTGGAGCGAGGCCAATCACTTCTAGTAAATTATTCATCCGACAAATTTAGCCTGTTATTCTAGTCGTGCTCTACCCAGAGTTTTACAGATTTCATTATTATTTCAAATTGTGCAAACACCGACGAAACCTCTCTGGGGCTCTGGCGCGCTCTGCCTTCATCTCAGCTCATCTGCCACATCTGGAACAGGATTTTTACCGTCTAGTGCCAAACCCTCCATCCCCAGCATGGCCACAGGACCTTGTGGAGGTGAGTGGCATCCCTGTTCAGCACCAGGCTTCTGCTGAGGGGAGAACCTTCTACTGTGTGAGAACCATCTACTGATAACCCAGGGGTCAGTGGGATCACAGGAGGCCATGGCACACCAATGGACCCATACAAAGATATTCTGACTTTTTTTCACCTCTATCCTTGTATCTGGGGCAGGGGAGAAAAATGACAGCACTGTTCAGCAGTGTTCTCTTGCATTCTGCACTGTCCTATTTCCTAAGCCTGGTCACCTTGGGAAAGCAAGGTGACACATGCCATAATTTCTCCTGTCGAGGTTTCTGTGTAGTCATGAGGGTACAGCTAAAGCTTTGCACTGCCAAAGAGAATCACATGCATCTTGTAAAATATACAGCCTGGGAAAGGAAAGGAGATGGATGGGTTGTGGACAAGCCAAGAGTGATCAGACCCATAAATGGAACAGCAATGTGTCTGGGGAGAAGCTGTCAACCACGGAATGGTCGAGGCACTTTAACCTTTTGTCTCAATACAGGATGTGAAAGAGAAGAGCAGGCAGTGACACCACCTCCTTGTCTGCCCAGAGCTGGTGGAGAAATGCCACCAGCAGTGCAAGCCCATTTCCCTCACATCAGGACTCATCGCTGGTGTGGGAATACCAAATGAGCTATCCCCAAGGGCTGTTAATGCACAGTTTCACCAAAACCACCAGAAAACAGTATAAATTTCTACATAGAGACCTGTCAGGGCTCCTTAGCAAGGTATTATGGGACCCTTGAATGACTCTTATTAAAAGGGAATTAATTAGCTGAATAGCAGGGATGGAAGAAATAGATGCAAAACACAGAACAACAGATTTAAGGAAGAGGTTTACTGGCCAAAAGATAAAACATAAAAGAAATATGAAAAAATAAATCATGGGGTGTTCAAATCTTTTCTTTGTGACCAGGCTGAAGAAGCTCATGGGTGGTAAAAAAGGGGAGCGACAGAGCGTGGAAACGCTTGCCCTGCATCCCTGTGAGCCCCATTTGTGGCAGGGAGAGGGAATGCTCAGAGCAGGGCCCGGTGGGACAAGGATGGACACGGTGCCTGGTTCCCTCTGGAAGACTAGTGATTTTGTTGTTGTATGGCTCATCCCACCACAACAAGTCACAGTCTGCCCTAGGGCGCACGGCCTCTGCGGCGACACCGAAGGAAGGCGTGGGGACGAGCTGGTGGCTGGGGCTGCCTGTGGCCCTTCTCCACTTCTGACCACCTCGGACGTTGCTTTTGTGAGCCTTGAGAGTGAAGCAACGAGAGGCGGGTCTGAAACCCCACCTTCAACCATGTCCTGGTCAGAGCTGCCCCCGCCCCCAAACCCTGGGAAGCACAGCCTGGAGGATGCAAACCCTGCAGGAGCTGCTGTGCCTCAGCCCACCCCACCGTCAGAAGCAGGGATGCTCACAGGGCCAGCACCGCACCGCAGGAGACACACAGGAAAACTGCAGCGTATTCGTGCCAGGCTGTGTGCCCCAAAATAAAAAGGGGGCTCTCTCTGTTCAGGGCACAGAGCTGTGTGCCCCAAAATAAAAAGCACCCTCCGAAACACAAGGGGCAAACTGAATCACCATAGTTAACCTCCTAAAACAACAAACTTGCGTCAAAGAGATGAATTTGCTTTTTGTGCGCTTTTGTTTCTCGCGCACGTTATCTTTATGTCACAACTTTGATTCCGGTAACACTCCGTTGACCAATTACGCATAAACACGCAAAATATCCATAAAATTGTATCCCACCCCCAAAACCCACCACCCCGAAGGTGCCCTCCCCACCAGGTGAGAGAGTCCTGAAGCCCAGAGCGCCTGGGTCTGGGATGTAATCCTCAAGTACTTCGCTCAGACATTCCCAAATTCCTCCCACCCCAGCGCTATAACCGGGGCTCCAGAAACCCCGCCCACCGCCCGCCCCGCCGGGCCCCGCCCCCGCATGCAAATCACCCGCCATTCAGCCAATGGGGAGACAGGGGGCGTGGCCACGGCGGGACTTGCCCGGGCATGTGTGAGCGGCGGCTTCCGGGCGGGACACGTGGGGACCGCGCCGGGCCCGGTCAGGAGCGGGGACAGGGGGTTTTGGGGGGTATGGGGAGGGGAAGCAGGAGCAGGGGAAGCAGGAGCAGGGGGGCAGGCACGGGTGTGGGGATGGGTGACGAGGCGGGTAGGGCGCTGGGACCCGGAGCGACGCAGAGAGAGCCCGGGTGACGGGCGGACAGGGCCCTGGGGAGCGCGTAATGGGGTGGGCAGGGGGTAGTGGGGTGGCAGGGGGGCTGCGGATCGGCAAGAGAGTGGGTAGGGCCCTGGGACCGGGAACGGGGCAGTTGGGGACCGGGCAAAGAGCGGCAAAGGGGTGGGGACAGGGTGTGGCAGTGTGTCCTTGTGTACCTCCCCCCCCCCCCCTTTCCCTGCCCCATGGCCCCTGTCTGTGCCTGCGGGATGGGGGGGTTCCTGGGGGCTGTGCACGTCGTTTTTGACGGGGGAGCACGGGGACTGCACGGCACTCATGGCCCCCTGTGCGTGCTCCAGCAGGAATGCCACCTGGCAAAGGGCAGATGACCCCGCTGCTGCCCACCCCGAAGGTCTGCGCGCCCACCCTGCAAGGCACCCACGACCCCTCCATGGGGGGCTGCCCTCAGGCCCCCAAGGGTCCCGGCTCGCCGCAGAGCCGCAGCAAGAAGAAGAGCCGTAAGCACCAGCGGTTCCTGGAGCGCCGGGTGCTGCTGGAGCAGAAGGGGCTGCTGAGCCCCCACGGGCGCCGGAGCACTCAGACCACCGTGGCAGGGCCAGAGGCACACACCACCCTCACCAAGGCAGATGGCATCACGACAGAGCACTCTGGCGAGGTCCCCAAGCCCAGACGGGTCACCTCCGCATCCCTGTCCCCATCTGCCTCTCCGGACAGCATAGCCAGGCACCACTCCGTGCTGCTGTCCCAGGGGAACGGCAGCTCCAAGGTGCGAACGTCCTCGCTGGTCCTGCGCCCGGGCAAGTACGTGGCCATTGACTGTGAGATGGTGGGCACCGGCCCTCAGGGCAGGCTGAGCGAGCTGGCACGGTGCTCCGTGGTGAACTACGAGGGGGATGTCATCTATGACAAGTACATTCAGCCCGAGCTCCCCATTGTGGACTTCCGGACACGCTGGAGCGGCATCACCAAGCAGCACATGAAGAGGGCGATTCCCTTCAAGGCTGCCCAGGCAGAGGTGAGGGAAAAGAGAAATTAAAAAAACAAGCAAACAAAACCCAGTATGTTGTCTGCTAGGCACAAATAGGGTTTTTGGTGGCTCATGCTGAGCTGCTCTGAGGCAGAGACACAACCACAGGATGGAAAGCCTCTGAAGCTGTGCAGTGGGTTGGTTTGGTGGTGGTTGCTCCCTTCTGGTAACCTAAAAACTGGAAGTCAAGGAGCTTAATTTAATAAAAAATGGTTTATTTTGTGCTTAATTGGTGTTTCTTTTGCTGTACTGCCTGTCTAACCCTTTCTGACTCTTCCAGATCCTGAAGATCTTGAAAGACAAGATTGTGGTAGGACACGCCATCCACAATGACTTCCAAGCCCTGAAGTACTTCCACCCGAAAGACAGGACTCGAGACACCAGCCAGATCCCTGTGCTGAAGCAGAAGGCAGGGCTGCCTGTCAGGGCCAACGTCTCGCTCAAGAACTTAGCCAGGCACCTGCTCCATAAAAGGATCCAGGTAAGCACCAGGAACCTTGAGATGGGAAGCAATTCATGGGTTAGCTACAAACCTGTGTGGTCAGCCTGGTCCTCCCACCTCCATGGGTGCTTTTTGTGACATGGAGATGACACTTGGTCACCCTATGCCTCTGGCTGTAAATAAGCTGGGAGAGCCCAGGACCTCCCAAGCTGACCATTAAGCATCTCAGTAAAACATGGAAAGGACCTGTGCCCTCCAGAAAGTGTTGAAGAGATATCTCTATCTCCTTGGTTGCATCAAACCTCTGCTGTCTGCAAAACCCACAGCATTTGTGTACTTCTGAGCAAGCAGACAACATGACCTGTGGGATTTTTGCTGCCCCTTTTATCTAACTGGGGCTTTTTTCCCTTTGCTCAGGTTGGCTGCAAAGGACACTCGTCGGTGGAAGATGCTCAAACAGCCATGGAGCTGTACAGACTGGTGGAGGTGCAGTGGGAGAAGGAGCTGGCCCGTAGCCTGCCCCCCCGGCCCCCCAGCCCCATCACAGACCCCACTGCAGACAGCAGCCACTACTTGGATGACCAGTACTGGCCCACAGACCTGATATCAAGCGGCCTGTGATGGGGGACAGCATCTCCTCCATGTGTCTCGGGCTATCCTGGTGCCTTCAGCTCTGAAAGGTGGAGGTGACCGCTGACCTCCTTCCCCAGGGGTTGTACTCCATGGGCTCTGCCCAGTACCCAGCCCTGCCAGGGATGGAGACACGGTGACACCTGAACAGCAGTGATCTCCCAGAAAGGCTGTCTGCAGCCTCTAGCTCGTGCACAGAAATGAGGGCTGTGGCTGCACTGTGTTCATCTGTCACTTTGGGATGAGCATGGTCCTGGTGTCAGCCTGGAGGAGCTCCCATGGGCACGTGATGGGGGCTACCAGGACATCTTCCATGCCTTCCATTGGGTTGTCCCTGTCCCAGATGGATGTGGCAGGTTTTCCTGTGGAAGGACTGAGGTGTTTTGCTGATGCCCAAAGGCGCAAACCATCCAGGGCCAGTAAACAACCCGTTTCCTCCTCACTTTATTTCATAGAATCATAAAATATGCTGAGTTGGAAGGGTTGTGTCAGGATCACAGAGTCCAACTCCTGGCCCTGCACAGGACACCCCAAGAGTCCTGCCATGTGCCTGAGAGCACTGTCCAAACACTTCTTGAACTCAGATAGGCTTGGTGCTATGAACAGCTCTGTGGGGGAGCCTGTTCCAGTGCTCAGCCATCCTCTGGGTGAGAAACCTTTTCCTGATATCCTGCCTAAACCTCCTCTGACTCAGCTTCATGCCATTTCCTTGAGTCCTGCCACTGGTCACAAGAGAAGAGGTTGGTGCCTGCCCCTCCCTTCCCCTCATGAGGATGTTGAAGATTGCAATGAGGTCTCCCCTCAGTCACTTCTAGGCTGAACAAACCAAGTGACCTCAGCCACTCCTCATAAGGCTTCCCTTCCAGTCTCTTCACCATCCTCATGGCCTGCTTTTGGATACTCTCTAACAGATTAAAGTCTTTTTTAATGTTGTGGTGCCCAAAACTGCACACAATATTCAAGGTGAGGCCACACCAGTGTAAAGCAGAGCGGGACAATCCCCTCATTTAGTATTCCTTCAAGTCCTGTGCCTCGGTCATTAATGAAGGTGTTGAAGAGAACTGGCCCAAGGATGGAGCCCTGTGTAACCCCACTGGTGACAGGTCTGATGTCACCCCATTCACTGTTTGTGCGTGACCTGTGAACCAGTTGCTGACCCATCGTGTGACATGGTTACCCACCTGTGTGCTGGACATTTTGTCCAGAAAGATACTGTGAGAGACGGTACCAAAAGCTTTACTGAACTCCAAAAAGGTAATGTCTACTGGCTTCCCTTGATCAACCAGGTGGGTTACCCTGTTGTAGAAGGAAATCAGGTTTGATAAGCAGGGCTTTCCTGTCATGAAGCCATGCTGGTTGTGCTTGATGACTGTGTTGTCCTCCAGGTGTTTTTCAATACCTCCCAGAATAATCTTTTCCGTGATTTTACCAGGCACTGAAGTGAGACTGATAGGTCTGTAGCTTCCAGGGTCCTCCTTCTTGCCCTTCTTGAAAACTGGAACATTTGCCAGCTTCCAGTCAGCTGGAACCTCTGCAGCTTCCCAAGAGTGCCCAAAAATCGTTGGGAGAGGCTTTGTGATGACATCAGTTAGCTCTTGGAGGATTCTTGGATGAATCCCACCACACCTGATAGATCTGTAGGGATCCAGCTGCACAAGGAAGCCTGGATCTAATCAGTGTCCAGCACAGACAAGAGCATAGAATGCACTTCATTTTAAATAAATTATTGACATAATTGTCCAGTTCTGAATTAAAAACTCTTAATGCTAAACCCTTGTGTACATTTTGCATGATTTGATCTGGCAGTTCTACAAGAGCAAGAGGGTGGGGTGAGATTGGCCTGAGTACCATGCCATGTTCTAGGGCTTAAAACCCACCTGCAACTGGAAAAGGTGGTTTGTGTGGCCTTACAGTGGCTGGAGTAGGTAGTTCCTTGGGGTGCAGGCTTGTCCTCTGCTCTGGGGATATCCCTGTGAAGGCAGGAGGAGCAGGGGATGGGCTCAGCTGGAGCCCTGCAATCCAGCACTTCCAGCTGCTTGGAGAAAGCTCAGTGCAAGAGAGCATCCTGCTGTGTCACCCTCCAGCAGCTGGGCTGTCCCAGCTCGGGAAGCTCCCTGTGTTAAGGAGAGGCATTGATGGGATTTGCCCACCTCACAGGTCAGTGTTCCTTCCCCCAGCATCTGTGAGTGAGAGCTGTGCTGCCTCTGCGCAGTGAGAATGTTGGTGAGCTGTGCCACGGGCTGCTGTGATGGTGTGGGGACAGGGTGATGCTCACCTGCAGTGACTCTGCCTGTAGGTGACATATGGGGCTGCCCCAGCTGGGTGTGGGAGCACCAGAGAGGGTTTGGGGGTTGGACGCAGAGAGCTGTGTTCTTCCCCAGGGAACTGAACAGCCACGGTTATAGAAAATTGGTATTTTTTTTGCCGTGTGCCTCAAGGTCAGCCCTCAGTAGCCCTTTAGCACAGTCCCACTGCCTGGGAGTGGGGTGACAGGAGGTGGCAGAGGGGGCTGGAGGGCTGCCAGCACTCTGGGAACTTTGAGGAGCCTGGTGCAGCACACTGGGATACAGCAGCCAGCACTGGAATGGAGCCCACGACCCCCTGAGCCAGGCTAGATCATCTCAGGCTTTTCCCAACAGGCCGTGGGAGGTAAGGAGAGCTCAGCCCCAACCTTGGGAGGTGGCCAAGGCAGCCGGGTGACGCAGGCACACCTGACGCACACATCAGTGCCATTAGCAGGCACATCTTGCACTTCCCTTCTTAACTCCTCCCTGCCTGGTAGAGGAAGCCAGGAACAGCTCAGAAATGCTTTGAAACGTGTCTGACATATCTAAAAAAATCTTGGTCCTCACAATGGCCCAAACACAACCGTCCTTCAACAGATACAATAACCTGGGCTCTGCCGTGAGTGCATGATCTGGGCACTCTCCACTAGACCTGGTAGGAAACACAGCCTCACAGTAGGTCTTTGAATCCTGCTTGTTCCAGTTTCTCCCAGGTGTGTTCCTGGTGCAGCAAGCTGTAAAACAGGGCCAGCACCACTCTCTGTGCCAGCCTCGGGGTGCAGCTCAGCTGAGCCCCAGCACAATGCCATGTAATGTCAGCGGGACCTGGCAAGGTATGGCAGGAACTGAACCCCACAGGGCACAGAGAGGGGTGCAAGAGGAGCACAGGTGGGGCAGGTTTTTCTGTTTCTTCCTCTCTGTATTTTCCACCTCTCTCAGTGGGGCAGGAGGGAAGCGAGGATGTAGGAAAGGTGAAAGCTCAGTGAGCCTGCATGCAACTGTCAGATGATGGTGGCATTCCAAAGGCAGTGCAGCAGCACTGTCTTCTGCTCCTGGAAGAGCAGACCCAGAGGAAAGACACAGCAGAGGGATGCTTTGCTTATGGCCATATAACCTGCCCCATGTAACTGCATCCTCTCGGGGGGCACTCGAGTTCATGCGGCATCCCACAGCTCCAAGCTTGTTTGTCCACCTGAGCAGACAAATTTGTTGCCCCTCCAGCCCCCTATCTCACCACCCCATAGCACTGACTTGCCCTGTGATGGTTGATGGAAGACACAGGTATGTAGGGATGAAGCTGGAAAAAGCTGCCAAAGGAGGTGTAAGGCCATAAGGTTTTAGCAGCCTGTGACTCAGCCTGCCTTGCCGTCAGCCTAAGGCATAATTAAGGAAAAAAACCCTCCACTTCTGAAGTCTTGACCATTCAAACATTTCAGTGAGACCCTCTTTCAAGAGGAAGCCTGGTTTGGGCTCCAGGCAAGGGACAGATTTCTCTAAGCACTCATCTATGGTGGTCCAGGGCAGGTTCTTCCTTGCCTGCCCTCCTGGCAGCACAGCACAGCCCTGGGGTTGCACATTGGCACAAAGCACTGAGAGCTTGTCCCCATTGCCACTTCGCTTGTTTAACCCTCCTGCTGAATTCCCTCCCTGCTTTGGGAGCAAATCTGGGGGCAGCAAGGCAGGCAGAGGCCGGCTGCTCTTTGGTGCTGACATGCCCTGCAAGCTTTGCCATGATCTCCAGCACTCAGGGAGGGTGAGAAACAAATTTGGGGTTTAATGCCTATTTGCATGAGATTTGAAGGGCTTGGAAAACCCCATCACTGAGCTGCAGCTCCCCAGCCCCCCAAAACCTGCTGCTGAGCAAACCCCACATGGATGATTAGGGGTGGTGGCAATCTGCTCCCTGACAACGATGTTTGCTCTGAATAATCTAAATGGTGACATTCGGCCCATTTTCACCCCCTGAGAGCTAATCAGGATTTTCACAGGTGTTTGTGAATATTCACTAACATGCCAGCTCGGAGTTGCCATGGCTGAACACGCTTGGGCTCCTCACACACTCCGGCTCATCCCACAAGAGGCCCCACTGCTGCTCATGTCAGGAGGCTGAGCATCTTTAGGCGGGTGAAGGAGAGTTGGGCTGTCTCACAATTTATGCTAAATTTTGTGATAATTGAAGAATCTGCAGAAAACTCAGCCATTATCTCAACAACTCTGAACAATGATTAACCCAAACCCATGAATCCAGCACTGGGCTTTTTTATCAGAGGGAAAACATTGTCAAATGAGTTTTTTCCAGCCAGCTGCGAGTGCAGGTAACCGATAAGCCCGTCATTGGAGTGGGGCTGAGCCAATGGGAGCTGCTGGTGACGGCTTTTACTTCTGTCTAGCAACAGCTTCTCCTTGAGCAGCAGACACAATCCAATTCTTTCTGTTGCTTTTATTGAGCTTCCCTCCTACTACATGGGGGTTTTCATGGGGGACACTAAGAAACTGAGTTTCATGTGCATTGCTACGTTTTTCTGCATGTTTTGGTGTCTATTCCTATCCTGCACGGTGAGAGCTTTGCAGCTGTGAAAGGCTCCATCCTGCTCACATCCTGAGCTCTGCTCACATCCTGGGCTCTGCTCACACCCTGCCTTGTCCATGCACCAGAGCTCTGTTGGGTGTTTGTTGGACACCTATAGGGTACTTGGAATAGCACCACAGCAGAACAGCAGCTGTACTGGGAGTCCCTGTGCCCGGGATCTGTCTGATCAGAGGCCACCCTGCATCGCTAATGCCTGACCATGGTCCAGCACCTCTCCCAGCTGCAAGGGGCTGTTTGCATGGGGACCATGGCTGGGAGCAACATCCCCTGATCAAACACCTGGTTAGCTTTGCTGCTGGCTCTGGTTATTGTGGTACGTGTGGTCAAAATGCCACGTAAACTCCAAATCACAACATCATGTAATATCCTGAGTTGGAGGGAACCCCCCAATACCTGGCTACACAGGATATCCCTGAAAATCACAACATGAGTGTCTTGGAGAGGAGCAATACCCAATAACAGCCTGGAGCAAGCCCCCAGCCTGAGGCTGTCTGTCCCCTCGCTGTGGGGACACAGAGGAACAATTCACCCTGTTTGCAGTCAGAAAGCAGAGGCTTCGCTCAGGCATTCACTGGAGACCACAGTGGAGGGAGGACCCGGCCCCCTTGTATCCCCACCCCATCAGTACCCCCACCCACCATCACCCCTCTCTACCCCCTAAGCGTAAATTAGAAGGGAGAAAACTCTCGGCCAAGTATAAATTAAAATCTCAGGAGCTTTAATAAGCCGCTTGGCCGGAAGAAGCAGATAGGTGTGATGTGGAAATGAATAGGCACATCTGGCAGCCGCTTAGCACCTGGGCTGCAGGAGGGGTGTGCGTGATGTGTGCGTGTGCAAACCCCAGCACAGCCTCCCGGATTGGCTGCAGAACCCCTTCCCGACCAACGCCGGGGAACGGGGTGGCCTAGCAACAGTCTTTTCCTAATGAAAAACAAGCCACTTAACTAACCATCGTGACTGTGTGCATAGGAGAGGAAAAGGCACAATTCCCGGCAGCTCCATCCTCCCTAGGCAGCTGACCCCAAAGGGGGCTGCAAAGGATGGACAGGTGGGGTGGCCTGACCCAAATAACCCTGTACCTCTCAGTCCCTGCTCCATGGATGCTTTGGGTGCATGGGTAGGTTTGCTGCAGGCAAAACACAAAGAAACTCCCAGGGATAAGCGTGGGGGGGCTGGGTGTCAATAGGTCACAGGGGCCATGAAGTGCTGAAGGTGCCACCTTTAGATTAGGAGTGCTTCAGGACAGCTTTCTCCTGGCAAGGTGTTCAGTTCCCAGTATGGCAACATGGGGAGAGGACCCAGCTCAGCACACCAGCACTGGAAGCAGCAGCAGTGTGGTGTGGTGTTTCCTTTATCCCCAGTTGCTGCATCATCTCAGGGAGCTTTAAGCTCTGCACCAAACCTGTGGTCTTCCAGCCTGCTTTTCCCCTGCCAGCTCACCTTGGGGCGATGGGGACATGTTAGAGCATCTATGGTGTTTTTTTAATTTTTCATTTAAAGGGAGGCTTCGTCTCAGCTGAAAGCACAGCCTGTGCTTCCAGCTCAGACCTGCCCCACAACAGATCTGCCTCCATCACTCCGCTCCTCACACCTGGGTCCCCTCACAAAGGATTAGAAATAACCCTTTATTATTCTTTTTTTTTTTTTCCCACAAATGAGAAAACATAATGCCGTCATCTTTCCAATGCCACTGGCCAGGTTGAGCAGCAAGTGTGGTATGCTCCAGGCCAATATCCCTGCCACGAAGGATGGAGTGGGGCAAAGACTCTTCTCTGGGGGGACCTGATGGAGAAAATTAAAAATCAACTGGAGTAGAGGGAAAGCGCAAAACATGACTCCTCAATCCCC